TTCGCTGTAAGTTTGTCATATTTGGCCTTTATTATGTTGAAGTATGATCTCTCTATTTCTAGTTTGCTGAGAGTTTTCATCATAAATGAGTGCTGGACTTTGTTAAATGTATTTTTGAATCTATTGATATGATCATGTGATTTTTATGTTTCATTTTGTTGACATGATGTATCATATTTATTGATTTGTGAATATTAAACCAACCTAGTATCCCCAGCATAAATCCCACTTGGTTATGGTGTATAACCTGTTTAATGTATTGCTGGATCTGATTTGTTAATATTTTGTTGAGGATTATAGCATCTATGTTCATCAGGGCTATTGACCTGTAATTCTCTTTGTAGTGTTTTTCTCTAGTTGTGGAATTAAGATAATGCTAGCCTTGTAAAAACAGCTTGGAAGTCTTCACTCCTCTTGAATTTTTTGGAATAGTTTGAGGAGGATAGTTATTAATTATTACTTTGAATACTTCATGACATTCACTCTGGCCTGAAGTGTTTCTTTGAGAAATCAGCTGACAGTCTAAGGCAGTCATGGGCAAACTATGGCCTGCGGGCTGGATCCGGCCCGTTCGGCTATTCTATCCGGCCTGCGGAGCCAAAAGATCGGAGGGTTCTCTTGCTCTCCCCTCTGCTCCTTCACCAGCAGCAGTGTTAACATGTATTAGTTCACACAAACACTCCATCCATGCTTTTGTTACGGCCCTTCAGTCCAGTTTAAGAACCCATTGTGGCCCTCGAGTCAAAAAGTTTGCCCACCCCTGGTCTAAGGGGCACTCCTTTGTAGGTAACTTTCTGTCTCTCTCGTACTGCATTTAAGATTCTTTGTTCTTATTGCTTGTCATTTTACTTATGATGTGTCTTGCAGTGGTTCTCCGGGTTCATCTTGACTGGAACTCTCTGTGCTTCCTGAACTTCTGGTGACTTTTTCCTTCAAAGAGGAAAGTTTTCTATCGTTATTTCTTTACATGGGGTCTCTATTATTTGTTCATGCTTTTCTTCTTGGTACTCCTATGATGTGGATTTTCTTATGTTTCATATAATCCCAATTTCCCCTTAAACTCTACTCTTGCTTTCAATTCATTTTTTATTTTTGCTGCTCTAATTGGGTGCATTTCTTTTTTACCTTTCTTCCAAATCACTGATTAGATCCTCTGCCTTATTCAATCTACTTTTGATTTCTTCCAGTATATTCTTGATGTCAGATATGGTATTCTTCATTTGTAACTGGTTCTTTTTCATTGTTTTTATTTCCTTTTTCATGCTCTTGTAGTTCTCACTAATATCCTAGTAGTTCTCACTAAGTTCCTTGTGCATTCTTATAACCATCACTTCTAATCTTGCATATCTGATAAATTGCTTGTCTCCTTTTTGTTTAGCTCTTTTTATGGAGTTTCTTCCTTTTTTCATTTGGAGTTTTTTTCGTTGTCTCCTCATTTTTGCTGTCCCTTGGTATTTGTTTCTATGTATTAGATTGAACATTATGCTTCTCCATCTTCACGGGGTGGCTTTATGTATTAGTGTTCTGTGATACCCAGAGGTGCAGTCCCTTTGTTCTCATGAGCTGGGTGCCCTAGGAATGTCCCTTGTGTGGGTTTTGGGAGGGAGCTCTCTCTGTTCCAATTGCATCTTGATTGTTAGTCCCGTTTGTGGGTGGGATCTCCTCTCAAGCTGGCTGACTGTGAGGCTCAACCCCAACCATGCTGTGTGAGCTGTTGTGCAATTGCTGACAAAACAAAACAGACCAAGAAACAAAACAAAAACATACAAAGGTCCCTACAACAACAACAAAAACAACCACAAAATAAAACAGAATTAGGAAAGAGAACAGGAATAATAAAATAAAATAAAAAAAATATGAGGAGAAATAAAAGCGGGTGATAAAAAGGAATATTAAATAAAAGAAGGGAGATAAAAAATAAAAATAAATAATAGAAAAAGGAAAACAGTATAAAAGAAAAAGAAGAAAAATTATGAAAAGTTAAAATGAGGTGTAAGAAAGACAAAAAATAAGAAAATGAAATAAGAGTAAGAAGGAGAAGAAAGAGCCGAAACCGGTTTGGCTCAGTGGATAGAGCGTCGGCCTGCGGACTGAAAGGTCCCGGGTTCGATTCCGGTCAGGGGCATGTGCCTGGGCTGCGGGCACATCCCCAGTGGGAGATGTGCAGGAGGCAGCTGATCGATGTTTCTCTCTCATCGATGTTTCTAACTCTCTGTCTCTCTCCCTTCCTATCTGTGGAAAATCAATAAAATATATATATAAAAAAAAAAGAAGGAGAAGAAAGAAAAAATAGTGTAAGAAAAGGAAACAGAAAAATAAAAGATATGAAAGAAAACAGAAATAAAAATAATAACAAAGCAATAAAGAAGAAAAAATAAAAAAAACAATTCAGAAGAAAAAGAAGGAGGAGGAGGAGGAGAGGGAGGAGGAGAAAGAGGAAGAGAAGGAGGAGGAGGAAAAGAAGAAGAAGAAGAAGAAGAAGAAGGAGGAGGAGGAGGAGGAGGAGGAGGAGGAGGAGGAGGAGGAGGAGGAGGAGGAGGAGGAGGAGGAGGAGGAGGAGGAGGAGGAGGAGGAGGAGGAGGAGGAGGAGGAGGAGGAGGAGGAGGAGGAGGAGGAGGAGGAGGAGAAGAATAGTGAAGTAGTATTCATCTCAGTAGAATTTAGTGCCTCTTGGAGCTCCCTTTGGATTTTGCTCTTATGTTGACTGAAGCTTCCAGTTTTATCTGCCGCTTCTGGGCTTCCTGGGAAGTACTGCTAGCCACTCTCAGAAGCTGTCCGTGTTTGGCTATCAGCAACATGTTCAAAGCTTCAAACCATCCACAGTTTGTGTCTGTCTCTACAGGGCTTGGCTATGAGTGGGAGGGCCAACTTGAGCTCTAGATCCCTGTTGTTATCAGCATGGTGTCTAGGGAAGGGCCAGCAAATGGCCCAAAGCTGCTAAAGCTCTGCCTTTGCACACCTCCCTGTCCTGGCCAACTATAATCTTAGTCACTTAGTCACTATAAGCTTTTTTCTCAAAGGGCTGTAGGCTGAATTGGCTGCATGAGATCTCTTGGTCTCCCATGAAAGGGAGGGGTAGTTCAAATTTCAAGGAAGATGGTCAGTGGGTTTCCCCATCAAAGAGTCACTCCTCTGAGACTATTTAAGAATATTTCCCTTCCCTTGGCTGAGTGGATCCCCTTGTATGCAGTCCAGTGGTATCTGCTGGAAGCCGGGAGTTTCTATTAGCTCTCCTGTAGGGGGAAATACCAATTAGGTTGGTACTGGGACAGCGGGGAGTATGGACCTACCCCAAAGCCAGTCACTTACTCCCTCTGATACTGTTCAAATCTGAAGGCTTGGATTCTTCTAACATCTCCTCAGCAGGGGTTGAGATGCAGAGTGGAGCAAGCTGTATCCTCCAGGGCAGGATATTTGCCTTTTCCTAAGCTTTGGTTGCTGGAAGGGGCCTGAACCTCACTGGAAAAATGGTCACTGCAGTATGAGGTGGACAACAGATTGCAGTTCTCCCAGCTGCCACTGTTCCAGTCTCCCCATAATGCTTCCCACCCCAGCCTCTCCTCAGGCAAATCCAGTCTGCAACCCCCTCCCTCCTCTGAAGCCTACTCAAATGAGTGGCTGTAAACATAAATCTTGTGTTCTGGGGGGAAAAAAACACTTTTATCTCCAACCGGCTCTGCCTCTCTTTGGCAGTCAGAAACCCCACCACCTTTCATGGCTGAATGTAATGTGGGCCATTGTTCTCAGCTCTAGAGCTCTGGGCTGGGGATCCCAGCCTTGAGTCCAGGCTTCGCTCCTCTCAGAGAACCTCCCCACACATACCCCTGGTCCTGTCCCTCAACTCCACCTCCACTCAGACTCAAGATATCCCTCCTCAGTCTTGGCTTGCCCCTAGGTGGGAGCTGGGCCATCCCCTCTCATGATCCTGCCCTTCCTACAACTCTCCAGGTGATTTCTGCCCTCCCTTATTAAAAGTCTCCTTTTCAGTTAGTCCTCAGTTGGTAATTCCTAGTGAATGTTCCCCAGCTTAATTTTTTTTTTCCAGTCTGGCCCTGGGAGGAGGTGCAAGAAAAGCCCACCTACTCCACTGCCATCTTGAAACCCCCTCAGTGCTTCACACTTGTAGCGAGAAGAGGGACCGGAGGAAGCCCAGCATTGACATGCAGTGCAGCCAGTAGGTCCTCATGTTCACTGAGCTCAATGCTTCCTCACATACTCAGGCTCTCGGCTCTTCCACTCTTGCTGTCTCCTGACAAACACACCACTCATTTCCCCTCCATTTCCCTATAGGCTCTCAGGGCTCCAGCAACCCAAACAGATCAGACTCCTGCCACACCACAGCTGGACCCACAATAGTCTCCCTCTCCTCCACAAGAGTTTGAGCTTCAGGCTGGGGAGGGCGCTTAAAACCTGTGCCTGGGGTAAACACAGTGAGCCTCCTTCTCCCTCAAGCGCTCCCACTCTCCTCCTTCCTACCCTCATCTCCCTCACTGCCCTGCAGCTCCAACTACATGCCTCGAGACATTTCTTTTTTGAGTTTAATTCTTGTCTAGGTTACTTATTGATAAAACAATGGCACATAAAGGATGTTCAATGAAGATGTGCTGAATGAATAAATGAATGAATGGCAAAATATGTGAGAACTAATTGCAATGCCAAAACCTAAGCAGATGATTATTAAATTAAATAAATTAATAAGATGCACTGCTTTATAACAGCAAAATATAGTACTGGAATTTTTAAATAATATTTGGTTACTTGGAGAAAATACTTATGCTAAGTGGAAAAATTATACAGCCTGTAGGTTGAGGATTATTTCAATGTTGTAAATGAGCACATACATTTTGTATAGGGAAATCATGAATGAAAATCCCCTCAAGTTCCAGAATTTGTAAATACACTAAGTACAGATTATCTTTGTTTTGTTTTCTTTCCCTTTTATTGTCCCAATTTTCTGTCATTTGTATATATTATTTTAATTCTCAGGAAAAACAAACACCTTCATTTGGAAGTCTTTATTATTTCACAAAATAAAAAGATTTTTAAAAATAAAACAGAGAAGCAGCATGAAACTACAGAACTGCTTTTAATCACCTCCCCCAAATGCAGAAATCCTCTCCACACATGATGGGTAGTTGATGGTCAATATTCTTCAGAAAATGGATAATAAGGGTGACCTACAGCACTGAAAGAGAAAGAGGGATATTTATTTACTAACTCGGTCCCATGCTGTCAAAGAGAGGGTTTCTCTGTAGATGCAGTCAGGATGGGCTAAAAACTATTTCCAACCATGCCCTTCCTCTGCCTCGACACACAGACATGCAGCTCCTGGTCCATGTGCTCAATTCCCACATTCACATGGGGTAGAAAAGCCAAGTGACAGGTAGTTTGCTTTAGATTAGAGTTTGCCATAGGATGTAAGAGCCAGGGCTGAAATGTGTTGTGTCAGCCCAAGTGTCACTTTTTTTCCCTAGATGATGAGAACATTCACAGTGAGAATTCTGCTGCTCTTTTTAACCAATTCACTCAACAATTCAGGGTCCTCCTGTAACTCTCTTGAGGAGCTAATACATATAACTGCCAAATGAAATTATTGCTTTCATACAATTTATAAAAGTACTTGTCCAGATTCTTTTAAACTTTTATAATTTTTTCTTTGATTGCATTAAAGAGTGCATTCTGAGAAATTGTGTGCTTGTGTACCTACCTGTGTGTTGACAAAGGTCTCGAGATACTGGTTCTCAACCTCTCAACCTTCTGCCCCATAAAATA